CCTTTGTCAAAGATGAGGTGGCTGAGTGTGTCTGGCGTTGTTTCTGCATCTTCTAATCTGTTCCACTGGTCCTCAGGTCTGTTTTTTTGCCAGTAAAGTGCTGTTTTTATCACAGTAGCTTTGTAGCATAGTTTCAAGTTGGGGGTTGTAATACCCCCTGCTATGTCTCTGTTACCTAGAATTGCTTTTGCTATTCTGAGTCTCTTCTTGTTCTAAATGAATTGTTGGATTGTTTTCTCAAGGTCCATGAAGTATGCTTCTGGGATTTCAACTGGGATTGCATTGAATCTATATAGCAATTTTGGAAGTATGGCCATTTTCACTATGCTGATCCTTCCTACCCAGGAGCAAGGGAAGTGTTTCCATTTTCTGATATCCTCTTCAATCTCTTTTTTCAAAGTGCTATAATTTTCAGAGAAGAGGTCTTTGAATTCTTTTGTTAGGGTGATTCCTAGGTATTTCAGTTTTTTGGATCCTATTGTGAAAGGAATTCTTTACCCTATTTCTCAGTGAGTCTGTTATTCGTGTAGGGGAAAGCTGTTGATTTTAGTGTGCTTACCTTGTATCCAGCTACATTACTGAATTTGCTTATTAAGTCTAGAAGACTTTTGGTGGAGTTCTTGGGGTCTTTGATGTAGAGTATCATGTCATTTGCAAATAAGGAAAATTTGACTTCTTCATTTCTTATCTTTATTCCTTTCATTTCTTTCTCTTGTCTAATTGCCTTGACTAATGTTTCCAAAACTATATTGAATATGAGTGGTGATAGTGGGCATCCTTGTCTTGTTTCTGATTTTAGTGTGAAGGATTTCAGTTTGTGACCATTTAGTATTATATTGGCTGTTGGTTTTTCATAGATGGCTTTTATCAGATTGAGGTAGAGACTGTCTATTCTGATTTTTTTCCAGGGTTTTTATCATAGATGCATGCTGGATTTTGTCAAATGCTTTTTCTGCATCTATTGAAATGATAATATGTTTTTTGTCCTTGGCTCTATTGATATAGTATATTACATTGATTGGTTTGTGTATGTTGAACCATCCCTGCATCACTGGGCTGAATCCCACTTGGTCAGGGTGCATGA